TAAGCGAGAAACCATCACAGGCAAGCAGCTATTTGTGTAGAGATTCTTGGTCGGTCTTTTCACAGGGCCCAGTCAGCTACCGATCGGGGTGGAAAGGCGGTGATGGTTATAGTGACGCACATGGAAGGGTAATAAAGTGTTGGCAGGGTTTATGGAGGGGTCAGGGTGAAGTTGTAAGCACTCTGGCCCCTTCCACACTCTGTGCATATCATGACGCCCTTACAGTCCCATAAACAGGCGCGCACATGTACACACGGAAGGCGTTAATTGATGTGAACGATTTTCACAAGACACGGTCAGAAAGATCGAATGTTCTGTTGTGCAGAGAAGTCCAGTAGCCCTGGACTGTACAAGTTCGTATAAAAGTGTTCGTGTATGGATGCTTGCAGTTGGACACATTTACGTATTATGTGACCGACAAGACGAAGGGCAAATAAAGACTTATATGTCTTTCTTTCTTGATGGGAGGAAAAAATATACAAATTCAACAATAAGATCAGGTAGAGGTTTCAGAACAGGTGACAATTTATTACTACAGTGTTTGCAAACGTTTTTTTTACGTTTTGCAGTTTTTTTCCAGAAACTAAGATGTCCCGGAAGTCACTTGCCATCGGCATATCTAAAACGCCGGGAGAAATATTCATTTTAATGTGTAAGCCTTAAAATGTGCATCAGAAAAAAATCGAGTGCTCAACGGATCACGTAGACAGCCCTGGCTAACCCCTTTAATTCTAAACGTCGACTAATTGAAAGTAGGCCGCATTTCATTTGATACTTTCGCTTGCGTGACACTGTGACATAATCGAAAATTGTTTCCGTCACGCATACCTATCCACATTGCCATATTTGGCACTAATTAAAGAAGCCGACTGCCTAACTAATTAACCTAGTCTAATCAAATAGGGGCATACGTGGTTTAAGCAGCAAAAAAATAGAACTAATCCCAATATTTGGTAGCAGATAGACGCAATTTAATTTCTATAACCGATTGATTTCCCTTTGCCGTGACCAGTAGGCTGTTTTTTCTTCGTCCAAAAATGGTTTATTAACCCAATAAATACGTGCATTTTAATCAATGTAAACGACAGGGACATGATGAAATTCGTGATCAGTAAATATGCAGTAACATAATGCTACCCAAATTAACAACTACAATTCATACAACTTTTGTTCGTTTGCTTGTACATTTTTAGAAGCAGCCTTGGAAGTGATTACCAACTTAACGAAGATGAGACCTGACTGCACGTATGCCGGATGTGAGCCGTCTAAATAGTAAGGAAAATGCCATCACCATCATGTTAAAAGCTCTCAGGCGATCTGAGTAAATGCTTATCTTGAAAATTATCTGCTAGTTGCACTGACAAAAATGTCAATGTAGCCTGGTCAACGTTTATATTGCTCCTAAAAATCGCATTGACTAAACTGTATAGAATGTTAACTTCGGATGTTTTATAAATTACCTAACAAGGAAAATTTAAACGGCAAATTCGCTAACATTCTGTGCCACATAGACCTTGGTTAGCCTTTACAGAGACTGGAGGTCTCTATTGGGGCTAATGTTGGCATCTTGTCATCTCGACGGATGGTTGCGGATGTCCGACTGATCTTTAGAATTATTTATTTTATTTATCCTAGTGTGTTTGATGACTGGTGTAAATATTTTATGTACCTACAACTTGGTTTTTATTAGAGCATTTCATTCCATTTACATTCCATTTAAAATGAAAGGTACTTGTTGTGGTAGCATCTCTGGAGAGCAATTTACCCTTTATTTCTTTCTCCATCATGCCCCATAGATTTACATTTAGTCAGATGGATCACCCATGCAGCATCCAGGCACGCGTTGAACAATTATGAAAAGGTTTTTAATGTAGATTGCGCGAAACTATATACCTCCCGCAACTGACTTTCAACCCCTTTTGAACCCAGCTCACAAAATAAACCCAAAAATAAGTAAGCCGACCAGGTGCTTTTCGTTAATTTGTGCTTGTTCCAGTCAATCAGGGAGAATGACCTTTTGCGGTAAAAAGCCAGCTCAGACGCACTTGGTTATGCACGTATATCATTTTTGTCTGGGTTTAACCGCACGGAGCTCCGAGCGCTTGGAATACTGCAGATTCCAGTTTCGGCGTGAAAACGAGATTTCATAAAATGCGGGTATTTTCCGCTTCAACCCAATGAAAGCTCATTCTCTTTTACTTGGGAAATTGCTTGGATGCGCAGCTGTTGTTAGTGAATCATTGCAAACGGCAACCAACCTTTGGTGAAGATTAATTGCAAGCTACTGGATGAGGCTTATCTAGAGAGCAATTTATAACCGAAAAGTGTACTGGTCTTGCATACCTTTTCCTGCCATTTAATCATTCGTCAGTTGATCCAATGGGCCTTGCCATACGTCGATATGACGTTGGTCTTTTACATTATTATCCATTTTTGCTATTTGTGTAAGTAGATGAGTCGGAATTGATGTAAGACAGAATTTCTTATTTACTCGATTGCCTATGGCTATGATCTTTTTTAAATCTAAGTGGCTTTCTTGACGGAGTACTTTAGTTGTTTGTTCGGACAATGTCCATTCTTCTGTGTCCTTTTATGGTAATTTATCTGCTGGCATGATAAATATGAATCAGAAAAACATATCTCTACAAAACTAAATGGCTTTTTTAGGAAAAAACGAGTTGGTTAATGCGCTTTGCGTAGAAAGCACACGTCATACGCAGTATAATTATTATATCTCTTTTGCAGGTTAGAAGTAAGTACTATAACCGGCGTCTTTGCCATTTTTTTCTTGAAAAGTTAACTGTGCAGCAGATTGCATATATGGCTATGATATCGAATCCAAATTGAGGTTTGAAATGCGATTTATTTTCCTAAGAGGTTTCTGTTTTCGCAGACCGTGAGAAAACACCTCAGCAATTTGTAATGACTGAAATATATTGCGCGTAGGCTGCAAGATACTCAATATTACAGCACTACCTAAGTAATTTTCCGAATATAAAATCAAAACTCAGAATCAGAAGAACAAGAAAGTGGGTTCATCGGAAGACATTAATTTTGTATCTGAGGTTGCGGATCGTTGTCTCGTCTATCCATGATCAGAGAATAAATCTTCCGGTTCATGGTGATCATTATGTGCCGCTCCCTGTCCCTATGCGTGTTCTGTCAATCCCAGCTGCGTCGCTATGTGTGCCCTGCATCTCTCTCTAAATTGGGTCGGCATCCTCGTTGACCCTCTTTATCCCCGTGGCGCTAGTGTTTACTTCGCTCCCACGTGCGTTAATCATCTGTTGTGTCGCATTGGCCCCCAGCTCACCCTGGCTTGTTTCACGCACGTAAACGTTCGCCGTAGAGCCATTTGAAGGACCCTATTTTCCCACGCCGTGACTGTCCCTTAAATGAGACGTAGGGGCAGGCAAATTCATGTGTTGGTTTACTAATTAGTCGGTTGACATCCAGCCTTCTTTAGCTGCCTTGATGTATGATAGTCATCTCGTCTATAATTCAAACGGCGTCAAATCGGAAGGAGTACCGCATCTCTGAAGCTTCGGTTGCTACCTCTGACGTTTGATACAATCCTCTTAAAGCCAGCTGCCGCTCATATATTCGCTGTTGTAGCTGGCAGTTGGTTTTTCCAAAATGGCTGCACATCCCACAATTGCACCGACGTCGGTAGACAACGCCTGATTTCTCCTGCTTCTGGATAGGATCTTTTGACCACATTTATTGTTGCCTGTGAGTAATTCCTATTCCAAAAGGTGTGAGGGCTCTAGTCGCGATGTCCGAAACCAATTTCATTTACGGGATGCATGACCACGACTTTTGTGAGCAATGCTCTTCGGTCTGCCTTTTTGGGGGCATTCGATTTTGGTAAGGTAACGCTCGTGGATGGCTTTTAGCTCTGAAAAGTTCCCAGGAGAGCTTCCTTTCGTCCAGTTTAGCAGTTGGCGTGCTGCTGTGGGTTTTTACCTGTCGGTATAGCGTGCACATAACAAATATTTGCGTGAGATACAGCGGGTGGTTGCTATTCTAGCTCACTATTTTCGACCTGTTTGCCGGTATACGGTAGACAGACATCCCCATTTTGCCATCCAGATTGCGGGAGACGATAAAATTCGGAATTTCAGGTGACGTATCATGAGATCTATTGTAATCAGATTTTCCTCACGCGATTCTCAAATGCGAGTGCACTGTGAACGTAATATTTGACTCTCATGACCGGCCGAAGTATTCTATGAGGCCCGGCAAGACGTGAGAACGAGATTGTCCGCTTAGTAGTATAGATGATCCTGCGCCAAAATTTTAGATTTGCAAAACTTCCTATGTCATGATCTTACCATAACCTTGCCTACAGCCTTAACATTAATCCTGCATTTCAAAAAATCCCATATTTCATAGAATCTAGCGCGAAGCCACCACTAACAAGGGTGGTTTGCGCTGTCGTGTCTTGCAGGAGGGGGCGTGGCAGCCCTATAATCGTACTGTGCCTTAAGTCCTTTTTCAGAATTTGCTACCTGAAATTTACTTCACATCGGGGACTTTTTCGCTCGCTTTGCAGCTGTGCTTTGAAAAATTCCGTCCTGTTGTTAATATAATATGCTTATTTTATTATTCATGCACAAACTGATACACAAATCAGTTTTAAAATTAAATCTGGGAGTTACACGGTAAAACTGTTTAATTTCACTACTAAATCCATTCATATAAAAATGGTCAGCGTAAATTACTAGTTAGTATGCGTTTGCTTTACCTTATCTTTCCGATTTCTCAAGAAAGCGAGAGAAAATCGCTGAGAAACTTTCAATTAATGAGTGTGTGTGTGATTTATATTATCCCCTACGGGCGGTTTCCTTCCATGCCATCTTTTGCAAGTTCCCCCATAACTCCCGTCATCCACACATATTTTTTTCACCGTGCCGCCTAGATAAGTTTGTAGCTGCCATGACAAATACGCGCACGATATTTTCCGCTTTTATCCAACAATGCTATAATCACCCGTCACCTCAAAGGCCCCAACCGGGGGGAGGGGGAAGAAGGGAGGGAGGGTCGGCTGTGATGAAAGAAACATTCGGGTTGATGATGGAAGTGGGGAAGTCTCGACAGGAATGGAGCAAGAAGAAAGAAAAACGAGCCTTCTTTCTTACCCATGTCTCGAGACCGAGATTGTAGAAAAGCACGAGACGCCCATCCATAATTTCTAAGCCAAATTTGTCGGGTGCGGTAGAGATTGCGCTGGCGCTCTCAAAGAGCCTGCAGTTTCGCTGAAGCGTTTGAAAACGCAGGACTAGGCTTTCGGCTTCCGACTGGTCGGGCAATTTTGAAAGGTGCATCTCTATGCCCTGAAAGCCGTTGAAGGTCAGGATTTGAGCTTCTGTATTTGGAAACAAAAAAGATGGAGGCGTTATAGCATTAGCAAAGATTTTTGAAGTGGCACTTATTCACGCTTTTATTAACCCAAGAGCTCCCTTTATGAGTTTTTAATTTGAGTGATAAGAATTGCTTCGTTCTTAACTAATGGCATAAATTATAAAGGGTGTTTATGAGCGTGCGGTGTACCGTCATATTAAGTACGAAAATCTATAGTCTTATTAATTTTGTCATCTGATATGCTTGAATGATTTAAAGTTCCGTTGTTTTTATAATGTCTTCCCGTTGGAAACTGTATGCGAAGAGCGCTGCATGTCTGAGTATTCAGCGGCTGAACTTTTAACTTTTTTTGTTTCTGATTGGATGTAGAAGGAGTGCAGGTAAGGATGACTTGTATGGCCGAGGGCAGAGGAACCGCCCACATTACATGATTTTACTCGAAACTCCGGGAAATTAGGATGAGATTTAGGGTTACGTTTAATGTTGCGGTTATGGTCATAGTCGGATTTATATTTACGACTATGTCAAGGGATAGGTTTTGAGTTCGTGGTAATTGTGGCTTTTAGGTTGAGGTTACGGCTACGGTTATGGTTATGGTTAAATGTAAAGTTTAGTTTTCTGGTAGGTTTCAAGACACGTCCTGCTAACGCTTGCATAAATGTAGCGCCAGGTCACCTATTTTAAGTGGACCGTGAGTTCGTTGTCCCATGTCATATTTAGGCGACCATACAAGTATTACTTACCTACCTTTACAGTAATTCAGCGGTAAAGTGACTTTGAAATCAATCCTGTGCTGACACGTTCATCCTACTTTCTACATCTTTATCTGAAGAGTTCTGTAAGAGGCAGTTATGGTGACATATCTAGTAACCATATGTTTAGAGTCCACACAAGGTAAACAAATTAGTGAAAACTTTTCATAATTATGCATGATTCAACACTAAAATAAAGGCTTGTAGTAGTGTGTTTACATCATT